GGTTTTACAAATAATGAACTGCAAAAGGTTCTAATGAATGGAACAACACTGAAGTTGCCAAATTTAGATGCACATTTACAAGGTGTGGAAAGAGCAGTTAAATTAACTACTGAAGCTTGACAAATTGTATATAGACAAGAAGCAAGGCACAAGCAGATTATTACTAAATCATTGTGCCATTAAATAAGACTTTCATTTATTTAAAGGGGAATTATACTGAACAATTGAGCTATATTATGATGTAATATGTTATAGAGTGTGATTTTCAATAAACAATGCAATTTAAAACATTTTCTCTTATAATTTGTGCCCGGCAGCATTAAGGTGTTATATACACTTTTATCTATTTTTTGTTTTTATTAATTATGACCTAACAAGTGGTGTAACAGTTTATTCACTGATTAGCTTTTTTTTGTAATCTCTTACAATTTTTACAGTTTTCAGTTATTGAATACAGTAAAAAATTGCATATTTTGCTTGTGGTGATTCATAATTAGAATTCTGGTTTGAATATATTTGCAATTCAATATAATCTAAAACAAAAAAAAATATCAGCTTTATTTGGATTTATTCTAGTCTCTAAGCAGAAACATGTAGAAATTAGCTAGTGTATTTCTGTAGACTTTTTCAGACAATTTTTAAACCTAAATGCTGAAAAATTGGTAAGAGCTATGAATCTAATTTTTGGTGTCAGTACTTATCACATCAAACCCTAGCCTTTGCACTGAGTGCAATTTTGATTTTCAAAAAAGAAAAGTGAGAACTAACCCTGCCCTAGTGTGGTATGGCAGAAGGAAAACCAATGAAACTAGACAATTCTGTCCTCTTAAAAAGGTCACAAACTAATTAGAATCATAGTGGAATGATGAAATAAATATTTCAAATATTTATATCAATGCTAACACTGAGCTTAGAAAAATGTTTGTGCAATGATGATTATTTGAAAATGGTTGGAATCTGAAATGCCTTCTTGCTTGATAAATAATCTTGCTAGTGTTGCAGTTTTTGGGGTATATATATTAGTGAGCTAGCCTAAATGAGCTGACTCATTTTATAGTTCACCAATAGAAGGGTTAACCAATCAGAAAGCTCAAAATATTCAATGCGACGTGTATAAAGGCAGCCATTTTTTTCTCTCCCAAATTGTCTGCACTGCCAACCTGATATCGAAGACTTAAAGAATTACTTAACAGCCGCTACTTTCTCTGAATCTTCACTGCCAACCTCTGATATTGAACAGATTACAGACTTCACTGGATTCCATATTCAGAGACTATGGCAAACATGGTCAACAGCTAGATATAATAGAAACCTTTTATTTCCAAATAGGTGTCCCCAACTAGGGACACTAATCCATAGGGGGATTGAAAGCTTATCAATACAAAATCATTTTACAGTGATAAGTTTGATTGTTATATAATGTGAGTAGAAAGGATTTTACAAGTATTTGCCTGTATAGTTTTTTGGCTAGGAATTAAAATTGCTCGTATTAATATTTACTAATCTTATTCATGTCTGACAAAAGATCCAACAGTGGCGCACTCAGTAAAGTTCAAACTTACTATAAAGTCTTCAGGACAAGCTTTTTAACCATCCTTCTATTATAAACATGTGTAGTTATTGGTCCTCTCATATGACAAACCATATTGAGCAATGGTTATCTATTTTTTTTTTAACAATATAGGATTTGTTTATTGTTTTTGTACCAATGATATGGTTTTAAAGCACTCAATGCTCAAACATCCCTAATTCTCAAGCAGATTTGGGACCTGCCAAACTGACAGGCTGTAAACTTTCTTTTATTCCCTGTCAGTGTTACTCTTAGGTAAATTGTGTTATTGGGCAAAAAAAAAGCTGAAACTGCCTTGATATTTTTTGATAGCTACAGGGGGAATTCATGCCTTTTTGCAAGGGTATTAGCAAGAAGTAAATACAATCGACCATAGGTGAAACTTGAACTCAGTTTGTCAATTCTGTTTTCCGTTCTGACAAACACAATGCCACCTCATACGTCCTGATGGTATGCAAAATTCATCTTGGAAGTGAATTTATTATAACTGAAAATTTTAGGGTTTAGGCTATCAATTCAACAACCAAAAGCCAGTACAAGAAGTGATATTTAGAATTCACATGAAGTTCTAACTTTAGATTTGGCAAGTTAAAAAAAAAAATATCTTTTTTGCAACTTGATCATATTTTCCAATAAAGAAGTAAAAATTTTCAAAATTTTCAGAATATTTGATAGCATGAACTAAAATGACCTCTGACATTTTCAAATGGAAAAAGTTGAAAAAAAAAAGAAATAGCACTTTATTTTTTTTCATATAAGATACAAAGAGAGTTTCTAGGTAATTTATCTGCTTGTTAAAAAGCAAAGATGTTAGCAATGAATTTAGTAAGGATTAAAGGCTTCCCTTTTTAATTAGGATTGTGCAATCTAAATTTCAAACTTAAGGAATAAAAAGAAAAAAACAACCTTTTCTTTGTAATTAATAAGAAACTTGCTCTTTTTTTTCAGTTAATCAACGTTTTGGCTATTGTACTCTCTGACCCTCTTCAGATGTCTGTCAATCCAAGTAACTTTCAGGGAGTTTTAAACTGACCCCTTCATCTAATTCTTCTTTGGATTTTATTAAGAATCTCTAAATATATAGAAGGAGCACCAGATCATATATGGCAGCAATATTCAAAGAATGAATGAACGTAGTATTATAAATATATAAAATACATTCTGGAGAGAAAAATTTTCGTGCACAACTCAGTGAACCAACTTTCCTAGCAGCAGACCTAGCCATTCATTCACTATAATCTTTTTATTTCATAGTTGTGGAAAATCTGAGCACAAGAAAGCACGAGTCACTCTCCAGGAGGTTAGCATCAACTATGCTGAGAGAAGGCAGAAAGGGGTTCTCTCAGAGAAAATTTTGTTTTGAAAGTGTTAAAATAAACAAGTCATTCCTTACCCCAGTTAACAACAGATTTTAGGTCATTTTTGAGATCAGCTGACAATTTGACCTTATCGAACCGATCAGACTTACTATTAAGACAGGAGTAAATAGTTGTGTGATCAGCATAAATACCAAACTGAGAACTGATGCCATTAGGAAGATTACTAATGAAAATTATTAACAATATAGGTCCAAGCCTGGGGGGGGGGATACCTGCATTGCAGCAGAAAGATCTAGAAGAGTGGCTGTTCAAGACAACTTTCATTTCACGATTTGATAAGAAATACTAAATCTTGATAAAGCAACTGTTGCATGATTACCCAACGATGCAAAGACTGATGAATATGCTGTTTGAAGAAGAATTTCCTATCCCAACACCATTATGATTATTTTTCCAGGATCGAAAAAGCAATGTGTAATCAAGAACTGTCTTGTAACAGTATGACTTTCTAGCTTCCATGTCTGATTTTATTTTCTTCTTCAATTGCCGATCTCAAACTTTGAAAGTGACGACTGCAATGTTGTGCACTAACAGTTTTACCAAGCTATGGAAATTCCTAATATCCAAAGTGCCCAGTAAAAAAAGCTGTAAATTCAGAAAGAAATTTATTTAGCTATCATGATTCATGCAGAAACTGAACAATCATTGTAGATGTTCAAAATATTTGCCTGAATGATCAAAACAAAGGTAGTAGCTTTATTAAAGGTCATGAATATTCAAGAAATTTATTCAAGGTTATTCAAAGTCAATTATTCCTGAACGATAAAAAAAATGATAATAAATTTGACACTTTTTACAGTACTGGATACCCAGTAGTATAATTTTCTATCAAATTAACTCTTTTTCCTAAAAAGCTGTTAATACTGAAGGCTATCCTGGAATCACCTGTGATTTTTGACACTTCAGATTATTGTCATGAGACCCTTTTTCATCTCTAGGTACAATCTTCCACAAAAGAGATTTTTTTCTTTTTTGTTGTATGGCAAAAAGTGACACACAGGTGATGAGATGCTTTCTAATATGACAATTCATGTGGAACACATAGATGTTTTTTAATCTTCCTAGTACTTTACAAAGTTGGTGTAAAACCCCATAATATGAGGGCTGCTGAATAAGAAAATCTGTATAAATCTCTCTAAAAATATGTCTTACACATGAGGAAGGCCAGGGAGCACACCTCTTAAAACATAATAAAAACAAAGATGCAGATACTAGTCAGAAAGATGGCCAGAATAATGATTCAATATCAGAAAATCAGACAATACTTAAAAGGCCAAAGTGTAAACTAACCAAAAAGAGATTGAAACAAAGATACTAGCCTGAATAATTCAGAGAATGAGAATAATAAGGCTCTTCTGACAACATTAGAAAATTTGGAAAACATACAGACTGCTATGAAACAACTGAAACAACAAAGATGAGGATACTAGTCTGAATAAGGTAAGAAATAATGATAACAAAGACAAGGATATTGGTCTGAATATATCCAAAATAAAAACAATGCTTCATCTTAGAACTTCAAGCAATATTAGGAAGGCCAGAGAGTGCATTAACTGAAATGGAGTGATCACAACCATGAATCATATCCAAATTGTTCATGGGGTGAAGTGAATTTTCTCTTGACCTGTATTTTGAGAAAAAAAAATTCACAAGACATTCCTGGAAGTGCAAATTGTAACAAGTGAATGGGTCTTAAATCTGATTAGCTAGGTATAAGATAGTAAGTGATGACCAGCCTCAGCCCATTACCCACACCCATTTTTGGCCTTGTACCACAATTGTATTTTATATACAATAAATCTTGACATATTGCTAGAGGCTCACCCTTACATATCTGCCTCTACTACTACAGTCTTCTCTTGATTTCCCTTTTAAAATAAATCTCAGATCAAGAAAGATGATAGCTGAGTATTTCAGTTTCTTGTCATAATCTCCAATTAAAACACTTAAGGTGCAGATATGCAGCTGAACGACTGAGATTCCAAAGTTGAAATACAGATTTGGATATCAAGTAAAAGTCGTGCTCACCTGCGGTTGGAAATGTAACTTACCTATGGTTTGAAGTGAGATAAAGAATCCAAGAGCTCCCCGTTCTCCATGTGTTGCCATGTAGGCACAGACAAGGCAGATGAGTGCATTAACCCAGATCATGGTGTATACAAATCCAATTGGTATGGTGTCAGCCAGAAACAATATTGACAAATTAAGGAAACAAACACAACAAGCATAAAAGAAAATGTTAATCAAAAGAAGGAATTCAATCATAAGAAACTATAATAATTATAAAGTCTAATATTTTATAATAAAACTATAATAATTATAAAATATAATATTTTTCATAACTGTACTTCAGGATCTTCAAATATCATTGTTTACAGGATTAACATTTTTCCCCCTTTCCAATCTGCCAGACATTTGCCAATAAAAGTTCTGTACAAAAGCAAAGAAAAAAAAATCCCAATTTTTACATTTCTTCATCAACTGAAGCGCTTTACAAAAAAAAAAAAAAAAGTATCGTATTTGATCAGGTATATCCACAGTAATTTAAATAAATTTCTGATTCTCTCTGATGATGTCCCCCAAACTATTTCTAGCTGAAAAATTATTTTTGGGGAAGGTATGGGGTACTCACTTTGGCTGTGTGTACTAGAAAATGACAAATCCCAATTTAGCTTTAGCATTACCATTTTTCCTTTTTACTTCTAATGTTTTTTATTAAATCAATATGAAGTCAAACTAATAAAAATATGGGAAAACCCCTACATAGGTCAATGGCACTTACTTCATTTCAATGTACCTTCCTTGAAACCTTATCCCAGCATCTCTTTCACTTTTCAAAACAAACTTTCAAGTTCCCTTTCGGGATGGCCATCAACAGCTTTGTCACATTCTGCTTAACATCATCGTTAGTATTTCATCAAGAGCTTTTGATTTTACATAGAGAGACAAATCTTGACTGTAATGTAAGAGGTGACAGATCTGGATGATGTAATGGTTTGGTAGAAAATTCTGCAGGAGATGTGGAAAATCTAATGTCACTCAGTAGACAAGCTCACATAGTAACATCTCACTGCTGACTGAGTAACTTACAGGAGTGAGTTTCTGTTCAGGCATTTGCAAATAAGGTCCACTTTGATTAGTTACTAAGATATATGAATGTTGAAATATTTTGTTTATTTTTGTGTTTACATTTATAGTATGAGCAATGGGCACCATTGGGCCATAAGCATTAACCTCTTGGCAATATTTATTAACTTATAAGTCCTCACAAAAACATAGTTTGGTTTTTTGTTTGTGTTTATTGCTGCAATAAAAACCAAGAAAAAAAAATTACATTTCTAAAAAAAAAAAATGTAATTACCAGAATTTTTTTAATGAAATCCCTCCCTCCAGATATTTGAATTAAATGTAATCTAAAAGTTCATGATGGTATCATGGTTCAAATCTATGATCTCTTATTGGTACCAAGGAACATAGCTTAAAATCCTGCCATATGTGGGGTGGGTTTTCAGCTATTAATGATTATTCCTCATCTCTTACAGAACATTTTACATCAACAGTTTATGAAGTATCAGAAAAAGACCCCTAAGTTGATTTAAATAAACTTATCTCATTTTTAATTTCTATCAAAGTTGAGAGTTTATATTTTTCCTTGTCATGCAGACCTATATTAGTTCTATATAGGTACATCAATAAATTTGAGGTTTAATTATAAAAATGCATTTATCATACAAAATAAATTTTACTTCTCAACATAATTTCCTTGCTTCAATAGCGAATATTAATGTCATAAACAATTTATATCATTACATGCCTATAGCAATAGGTCAACAACATAATCTCCTCCTTTAGTTAACATACAACTGCAGTCCTCAATTAGACAGATTCACCCCATGATATGTTTTAATTTCTGTATGCATCAGTGTGAAATAACACCACAACTGGAAAAGAAAATACAAATCCTGTTTTCAATCTATTGGCTTCCTTATTCACTGGGTCAAGTTTTGAGTCAGAGCTAGCATTCTTACTGGCAGGCGGGGGTTTTGCTAGTGGCACTTAGGTCTCTTCACTTGTTGTTACTGCCTTTGTGTGTTTGCTTGTTTAGTGGCACATCAACTCCCCATGGGTCACTCAATTCTGAAATTTAATTTTCTTGGGCGCATTAGTAATTTCTTTTACAGAAATGTACTGCTGATAATAATTTTTTTTTTTTTTTTGACAAAAATGTACTGCTGGTAATATTTTTTACTATAAAAATGCACTGTAAATGTATTTTTATACTTTCATAGTGTTTTGACCCCAGTTTGGAAGTTAACTATTTGCCCATAGCTGGGACATTAACAGGTGCTACTAATCCGGGTACAACAGCAAGTTCCATGCTCCTCAAAACCTCCAATCTAGTGAGCAGATGCCTTTCTGTCAGATGTATTTTATCATCATACCTAGGACGGTATTTCCTTTGAACAACTGCTATTAGTATCACTTGGTGAATGGCTGACTCCTTTGTCTGACCACTCTACCAATGACTGACTGTTATCTAGAATGCCATATATATAATGCTTAAGATAATTAGTTCCAAAATTTTCTCCATTATCAAAAGCATTAAGCTGAACTATTTTAATATTTCTTATGATGTGAAACTACATCTTTGTGAGTCTTCATCAGTCAAAGTGCAGGTTTATATTGTATCAGCAAAAGCAACAAGTAAAATATATTTCCATGGATCATATTTACCTAAAATTCAATCCAGCAGATTTCAAAATGTTTTATTAAACATTATCCCCAAGTAATATTGGTATTTCAGATATCTAATAATAAAAATGAAAATAAAATACTTTTTCGACCTGTTATAACTGTTCATCCAAATATGTGACATTTCATTCTATAACCTTTTCTCAATGGATTTGTGAAGAAGTTATTTGTGCAATTCATGAGGCATGGAATCTGGCATAAGATCTGATTTGCATCTGTTATCAGGTTTCATACATTACAAATCATTGTAACAAAATCAAAGCACTTAGGATATGAAGTTTTAAAACATCCTCTATATTGATCAAATCTCTATGCAATTGAATAGCTATTTATTGAGATAAAAGCTTTGACAATCAGGATGTTGGCTTTTAAAGAGTTTTATAAAGGTGGGAAAAATAAATAAATAAATAAAGAAAGAATATATAAAACATTTAAAATAGCAGATTGAGTGAAAATGTTTTTTGAATTTTCACTGATCATTTTTGGCAGTGTGTATCTCCATGTTGTATCATTCATTTGATACAACTTGTCCAATCATTGCTGAATTGTTTATTCTTTATTCTATAACTCTATAATGAATGGCAAAAAAATTGCAATTAGAGCCATTTTATGCTACTCGTTGAAAAAAGGACTGAGTACAAGGGCTGTGGCAATAGAAATTAATGTTATGGAAGGCACTGTCAATGAATGTGTGGCCCAAAACTAGTTCAAACATTTCAAGGAAGGTAACACTAGTCTTGAAGACAAACAAGGGTCAGAGAGACCATCTGTTGTGGAAGATGAGGTCATACTTGAAATAGTTAAATAACAGCCAAGCACAAACACTCATACATTGTCAGCAGAACTTGTTCCTTCACAAAGCACTCTAAATCAACACATCCATAACCTCAGCCCTTGTGAACAGACAATATCAAGAAGTTCCTCATGAACTGACCAATGAGCAGGTGCAATGATGTCTGAACATTTGCAAACAATTACTATAAATCCTTGTCAAACTCTAACCGGGAATGGAAAATGGATCTATTTTTGTAATCCTAATAAGAAAAATCAGTGATTTCATTCAGAACCTATTGTTAAACAAGGGTGGTTTGAACAGAAAGTCATGTTGTGTGCTTGGTGGAATTTTGAGGGGGGCATTACCCTTTGAGCTTTTCTCAGATGGCCAGGCTGTAAATGCTGACCATTAATGCTCAACTATATGATGCTTTGAAAGCCCACTATCCAACATTGGGCCAACACACACTGCCAATGTGATTAAGTACAAACTTGAGGGGGCTGGATATGTCACCCCAACCTCTCTACAGTTTAGACTTTACACCATCAGATTATCGCCTTTTCTGAGCCATAGTTCATTCTCTGCATAGCAGTTCAACAATGTAGATAAGGTTGAAAATGGGTGCAGGGTGTTTTTTGCCTCTAAACCAGCCAAATGTTATAAGTATGGAATTGAACTTCTGGCATAATGATGGTAACAGACAATAGAATATTATGGGATAGATTTTGATGAATAAATACTTTTCATATGTAATCTTTTTGAACTTCTAAAGCTTGAAATATTTTGAAATTAATGCTTGATACTTTCTACTCAATACTCTAATACTTGAAAATGGAGGATTTTATTTTCCTATTCCTAATCAAGTATATCATCTGACAAATTGTAAATTAATATGTAATTTCCTATTGAAAATAGTGGATTGAACAGAAGTGAAAAAGTGTCTTTGTAGTTGATTTTCCTTTTTGTTTTGTTAGTAGACATCTTAATCAAAGAAAAAGGATACTTGATACTCCAGGGGACTCTTGATATCCAAAATGTCTGTAGCAATGACAGGCCGGTGAGGACAATCAAAGAGAACACCTGCAAAACAAAAAAGATTTTTTTTCCTCTTTTTAATACAAATATTTCTTCTCTACAAAACAGAAGAGCAAAATTAAAACCCATTTCTTGTTTTGTTCTTGGAAATTAAAATATTTCTTTTCACAAACATTCAGGAGTAAAAAGTATGTGTGTATTTGTGTTAGAGAGAAAGAGAGAGAGAAATCATGTTTCACAGAAAAATTCACAATTCTTTTTCTCTTCATGGAAAGCAAAACAGAATAAAAAAACAGAATCACACAGAGAAAAGATAAAAATAAAACTTTTCAGTCCTTGAGGTATATATGTATTTTATACCTAACAGAATAAAACTTTCCTTATATGTGGTTAGTCTGAACCAAGTCTCATGCAGCATTTACAACACTTTATCTTATAAAATTCAGCTGTGTGTGTGTGTGTGTGTGAGAGAGATAGGTTCATTATGACAAAGAAGAGTAAAGCTAAAATGTACTGATAGGAATTTTTCTTGCAGTCTAATTTGATGAGAAAATGTCATGTCAGATACAGCAACTAACATCTGCAATAAAATATTTACCACCTTTGTCAAGCCACAGACATCAGGGAATGCATTCACTCTTAGCCCTTTTAGTATAATTGATTTATTGATTTTTTTTTATGATCTAACAACCCTATGTGGGTTATTTAAAGCTGAAATATATTTTGGATTGTAGGAGGTTGCTTACAGTAGTTGTTATTCCCAAGCAGTCTCCCATCTAAGTACTAACAACAGTTGACATTGCTTAATTTCAGTAATCAAACAAGAACCAATGTTTTCAACAAGATTTGACCATAAGCCCACTTAAGAGGAGGTGGTTTTACAACACCACCATCCCAGCTACAATTTGTTGGGGCATCATAGAGCAAAAAGTACAATGTGTGTTCATTCATGCAGACATATTTTGACTAGAGAATGATAATTTTTATCAGTGTTAGAAAACAGAAAACAGAATTAATGAGAACAAAATGAATTTGCTTATGAGTGATGGCAAAGAAGAAAAAAAATTGAAACAATTTCATCAACATGACAGCAAAGAAAGATAAAAAAAAGAAAGACAGTTTACCTTGAATTTAATGCTACTTAGGCAGACCCCCAGGGCCACATGGGCTGCAATCCCAGCAGGAAGCCAAGGAAGATAATGAGATGCCAGGCCATAATAATCTAAGATTGGATAACAGAGAATGGTAGCAATGGCACCACTCACCCATCTGGCCCGAAGAACTTGTTGGTAGGAAATTCCTGCAAAGTAAGGAAAAAATAAAATTAACAGAGTTTAAATAATATTAGTACTAATCAAAAATAAAAACTTTATATATATATATATATATATATATATATATATATATATATATATATATATATAAGTTTATATATATGCACACACAGAAACTTACATATATATATATATATACATACATACATATGTATAGACAAACAACCTTATATATCTATATATACATACATACACACAAAACTTTATATATATATATATATATATATATATATATATATATATACACACACACAACCTTATATATATACACTGCGTGCCAAATTATTATCGAGATAACTATTTTTTCTATTTCAAAAACCGTCGAATCAATTCACACAAAATTTTCACACAATGTTAGCAACACTGACCTGCACAATCAGCATGGTGATTTGAGCATGCCAAATTATTAGAAAGGTTTAGTAAAATTCTCAGAATTGAGCAAACAAAACATTTATTAATGTTGCAGGTGAATGTTTATGATCAAAAGAAGCTAATAAATACGATAATCAAACAAACAATAACAGATACAAACAAAGGCACAGTTTTAAACAAATTAATAGGAAATGTGCTTTCCCTGTTTTGAAATTACTTGAAGACGTCAACGATTCATAGAATTTGTTAATTGGAGGATGTCATCTGCTATAATACTGCGAGATATGTCAAGAATTGCTTCCCACAACTCAGCGTTGCTCCTGAATTGTCGTCCGTTGCCATACAGTCTTCGCTTCATAATGCTCCAAAGGTTTTCGATTGGGTTAAAATCTGGAGAATTTGCTGGCCACTTCATTTTTCGAGGTCCATCAAAGCCTAACTGTTTCAAATATTCAGTAGTCTTGTGAGCACTCCATGAGCCCACTAATGTTTTTCCAATAATACCACCCAAGATCATTATGCCTCCACCGCCTTGTTATAGTCTCAAACGCTGATGGCGATTCTGTCCGTTCATTACCCAGCATTTGCACCATCTACCTGGCCCATCAAGTGTTGCTCGAGTTTCGTCTTTAGAGAAGTCAATCTTCATATTGTCCTCAGCCCATTTCATTCGATTTTGAATGTGATTTCACGGCAATGGAGGCTTCGATACAGGTTTGACTGTTGTTGCTATTTCCCTCAGATACCGAGTACTTTTAGACACAGTAGGATCCCCAATGCGACTAAAAAGCTCTTGACTATGAGGTCAAGGGTTCTTCGTGGCCTCTCATTTAAGTCGTGACATGAGACGACGTGAAATAACCCTTGGCTTTCCTTTATCTGCCCTTTTGCGTACTTGTGTAGGGTCGGCGGTGAACCTTTTCGCTGTTTGATGACTCCTCACTATCATTTTAGGAATTTCTAGGGTAGATTTACCTTTTGAGACTTCTGAGGTGATAGTTTTCTTTTCAGCATCACTTAAACTGCTTTTACGGACCATCTTTTCACTAAATTCTTACACTTTTCTAATAATTTGGCACGCTCAAATCACCATGCTGATAACAAGTATGGCACCAGTTTGTTTACATTGCGCAGATCAGTACGAAAATGTCAGTGTTTGCGCAGGTCAGTGTTGCCAACATTGTATGAAAATTTTGTGTGAATTGATTAGATGGTTTTTGAAATATTAGAAAAAAAGTAATCTCGATAATAATTTGACACGGACTCTATATATATATATATATATATATATATGTGTGTGTGTGTGTGTGTGAAAAGTGTATGTAAATATAAATGAATATATATATATGTATAATTATTTATATATTATATGCATGGTACTTATTAGAATGCGCTCAATATCAGAGATAGAGCTAACATATTTGGTTGGATAGATGTGAGTTTGTGACCCTAGGTTTCACGCTTTAGCGATCGTCAGACAAACTGAATAATTTTTTTAAAAAATTGGGTTTATGTAGATTGCGTGAATTGGTGTTATTGTGGAAGTGGTGGGGGAAACTTCGTCGTTTTGCCATTGTACTAACGCAAACATCGATGTATGCAGACACATATATATACTTGGTCGTCCGTCGGGACTCATGCATATATAAACATATGTGGGCAGTTTCGGATATGACATATGTATGTATACGGGTGGTGTTGTGTCTATACATACGCATTTGTTATACAAATGCGTATGTATTGCGTATGTATTGAATTGAAGTTTAAAGATTGGAAGTGTGGCAGAAATGTCTCATGAATGTATACATGTCATATTATTTATTTTTCCACTGAATAATATTTCCTCGCATGTATGTATATACGTGTGGTGGGGTTTGTGTAAAATTATGATAAGTAAAAATTATTATTATTGATATTTATTTTTAAATTATTTGTTATATTTAAAGCTGGTAATTTGATATGTTTTTGATGACTGTGTATATGTAACAGATAGAAATTTGTAATCCTTACTGGTTATTTTATATGGTGATGTTTAATATTTAATATGCTGGGTGAGAGGGTAGTTTAATTTAATAACGGGTCTATATGATATGATGTGATAGTAATGTTGCAAGAGATTGGAGACAATGATAATATAATTAGCTAATAGTTATTGTAAATTGGTAGAAATGATTAGTAACGGTGATGGGAGAATGATAAAACCATGAATGTAGTTATAGTGGTGGTAGCTTGAACTAAAAGGTGGTTGTTGGTATTTTATTTTATTTTGTTATATGTATTAATTTACTTTCGTATAAATCCTGATAATAGGTATTCTGTATAAAATTATGGTAGTTGAAGATTGCTATAATTTTTAATTTTTAATTTACAAAAATATTATTGTTATTATATTAAAGCTGGTTATTTCCTTGTTTTTTTGTGACTGTGTATATGTGACTGGTAGAAATTTCAGTTTGTAATCCTTATTGGTTATTTTTATGATGGTATTAAATATGCTAGGAGAGGGGGTAGTTTACGTTAATAATTATGGTAATGGTAGATATGGTGTGATAGTAATATGTAAGGGGGTTGGTGGCAATAATAATATAAATGGTTAATATTTATTGTAAATTGTTAGTAGTGATTAGTAATGTAGGGACAATAATAAAAATCTATAAATGTAATTATTGTGGTGCTAGCTTGAACTAAAGATTGGTTGTTGGTAATTTATTTTATTTTATATTGTATATTTCTTTGTTTATTTTTATTTATTATGAATCCTGGTAATGGGTTTTTATTCTCATGGTTACATATGGAAATTATATCAGATCTTATTGTTTTAAGGTATTAAATATGCTGGGGGAGTAATATGCATTAAAGATTATAGTGGATTTATATGTTAATAGTAGGTGTGATATGTAAGTGATGGCGGTAATGATAATATTATTAGTTAATAGTTATTTTTTATATATATATATATATATATATATATATATATATATATATATATATATATATATATATATATATATATATATATATATATATATATATATATGCAACCATATATATATATATACCATATATATATATATATATATATATATATATATATATATATATACAACCTTATATATAAATATATATATATATATATACACACAAACTTATATATATATATATATATATACACAACCTCTATGTACACATATATATAATAACACAACCTTCTATATACATATATATAAACACAACCTTCTATATACATATATATATATATATGCAAATAAACAACCTTTATATATATATATATATATATATATACACACAACCTTCTATATATATATATATATATATATATAAATTTCGATAAACGTGCAATCAATTTACAAATTATGAATTATTCACACAAAAACAATCATTAACCTTTGCATTTGTTTTTGTGTGAATAATTCATGAATATATATATATATGTATATATATATACATACACACAACCTTCTATATATATATATATATATATATGCAAATACACAACCTTTATATATATATATATATATATATATACATACATACACACACAACCTTCTATATATATATATATATACAGACGAACTTTATATACATATATATATATATATATATATATATATATATATATATATAGATAACATATATATATATACATATATATATATATAGACAACCTTATATATACATATATATATAGATAATATATATATATATATATATATATATATATATATATATATATATATATATATATATATATATATAGACAACCTTGTATATACATATATATATATATACATATATATATATATACATATATATATATATATATATATATAGACAACCTTATATATATATATATATATATACAACCTTATATATATATATATATATATAGACAACCTTATATATATATATATATATATATAGACAACCTTTATATATATATATATATATATATATAGAGAGAGAGAGAGAGAGAGAGACAACCTTATATATACATATATAGACAACCTTTATATATATATATACACACACACATATATATACAACCATATATATATATATATATATATACACACACACACACACAAATACAACCATATATATATATATATATACACACACATATCTAGAACCATATATATATATATACACACACACATATGCACAAGCATATATATATACACACACACATATGCACAAGCATATATATATATATATATATACACACATATATACAACCTGATATATATATATACACACACACACACACACACATATATATACAACCTATATATATATATATATATATATATATATATATATATATATATACACACACACACAGATATACAACCTTATATATATATATATATACATACACACACACACAGATATACAACTATATATATATATATATATATATATACACAGATATACAACCTTATATATATACACACATATACACACACACACAGATATACAACCTTATATATATATATATATATACACACAGATATACAACCTTATATATATATATATATATATATATATACACATATATATAACCTTATATATA